AATTCTTTTCTTATCACTTCTCTGTCCTCTTCGCTGTGCTTCAGCTTTTTGTCGATCTGATTCAGTTTTGCCATCAAGTCACCTAGCTCAAGAGTAGCCTCTTCATGGTCAGCCGTTGGTCTTTCTTCGGCCGTTGCTTCTGCTTTAGTTTGTTCCTCTCTCGGATTGGCTTCTGTCGTCTTCGTGCTCACTGTCCCAAATGTTCGTGCTCTTTCAGCTTTTGGTTCTTCAGTCACGTTCTCTTTCGTTTTTATTCCGACCATCATCGCCAACCTTTCTGTAAAAGATGTCTTTTTTACTTGAGAGTCTTCTTTCACCGTTTCTTCGGTGTTGCCTATTGCATCTTCCACATCGTCTATTGGTGAGAACTCTATGGGTTTCGGGTTTGGTTCTTCTGCATTGGGCATTGGAGTTGACTCCGTCGTCTTTTTCTCCAGTTCATCTACGCTCTGGTCTGGTGTCTCTAGGTCGATTTCGATTGTAGGCTCCACCTGTTTTTCCCTCGCATCTTCTCGCGTCTTGCTCTCGGTGCCACTCCTCGTGCTGACCATGCTAACTGAAAAGTTATTTCTTGTTTTGCCTGGGCCCCTTGATGTTGTTCCACGCAGCGACGAGTTATATTTCGTGTTTGATCCACTTGACCTTTTTTCAAGCACCGGTACCCTACTCCGTTTCATTATTCCTATTTACAATTTCCCTTATTTGCAATATTATTATATACACAATTCTATTCTAAGAATAAAAAAAATTTTGTGGAAACAGATTCTTAAAAGAAAATATACAACGTGATAAAAACTTTGTTCCAGTTCTCTAAAATCTTCGAGTAACTTTCTTTATTCGTGGTCCCAACCGTACCGGGTTCCAATTAGTCTTGTTCTGTCTTGATTCTGTCTTAAAACAACTTGTTGTAATTTTACTTCAATTTTTATACTGTCCTAAGACTTCCAGTTACCGTCCCTACTCTTCTTCGTACCGTCCCAGGCTTCCTTTTACTGTCCCAAGACTGTTCGGTAATGTCCCAGTACTCCGTCAGTGTCCCAAGACCCCTGACCCAAGGCTAGTGTCCCAAGACCCCTGTCCCAAGGCTAGTGTCCCAAGACTACTGTCCCAAGGCCAGTGTCCCAAGGCTAGTGTCCCAAGACTACTGTCCCAAGGCTAGTGTCCCAAGACTACTGTCCCAAGGCTAGTGTCCCAAGACTACTGTCCCAAGGCTAGTGTCCCAAGGCTAGTGTCCCAAGACTACTGTACCAAGGCTAGTGTCCCAAGGCTAGTGTCCCAAGACTACTGTCCCAAGGCTAGTGTCCCAAGACTACTGTCCCAAGACTACTATCCCAAGGCTAGTGTCCCAAGACTACTGTCCCAAGACCACTGTCCCAAGACCCTTGTCCCAAGACCCCTGTCCCAAGACCCTTGTCCCAAGACCCCTGTCCCAAGACCCTTGTCCCAAGACCACTGTCCCAAGACCCTTGTCCCAAGACCACTGTCCCAAGACCACTGTCCCAAGACCCTGTCCCAAGACCACTGTCTCAAGACCACTGTCCCAAGACCCTGTCCCAAGACCACTGTCCCAAGACCCTGTCCCAAGACCACTGTCCCAGGACCACTGTCCCAAGACTGTATCAAGACCACTGTCCCAAGACCACTGTCCCAAGACCCTGTCCCAAGACCACTGTCCCAAGACCACTGTCCCAAGACCCTGTCCCAAGACCACTGTCCCAAGACCACTGTCCCAAGACTGTATCAAGACTGTTCTGGTCCAACACTGTCCCTGGACTTCTTTGGCACTGTCCCAAGGCTGTTTGACAAGTGTCTGAGCGGTGGGACTTCTCTCTTTTTCGTTATGGGGACTTCTTGATTCACTGTGCCTTGTACCACCACTCAAGCTCTAGTAAAATTTCCCCAAAAGCCCCTTTCTTAAAAGCCAAATGCTGACCCCCCCTTTTTTTCTTATTTCTTTTTAGTTACCTCTATTTCAATGTTCCAAGCAACTTGAGACCAAAACCTGTGCGCAGGTATCTTGTGATCACCTGTTCGTATAAAAACTAAACACAAATCCTCCCCAAAATGCAACAAAAAATCCAAGCCAGAAAAAGTAATAAAAACTGAAAAATGAGCCCACCTAAATTTCAAAGGTGACCAATGTCTACCTTTCGTCGAAAAAAAAAATGTCTGGTACCTAATTGCCACGCGTTTCCTTCCCCCCTGCTAGCGGTCTTATGGGGTATCACAAAAACTGTCTATGTCCGTTTCTCCCTACCGATCCGACCAGGGTACCTACCTTAACCTAATTCCAATTTTGGATATCCGTTTCCTATGACCAACGCGTGTAAATGACTAATGTAACTAAATCAACGATGTCGACCAATTAGTTACTCTAATTTCTCTCCTTTTTACAATTTACAACCGCCAACCTCTAACTTAACCAGCCCCCCTTCTAACCTCCAACCTTTTTAGCCCCCCTTCTTAAGCCTAAAATTACCTTAAGCGCCGGGTGCTAAACCTCTCAAGAGAAAACCGTAGACCTGTCTCCAGGCCTGCTCAAGTAAAAACGTTTCTCAAAACCGGGGGATATCGCTTATCCAATTTTACACTTATTTCCTATAATGTAATGTGAATTGTAACGATACCCGTTCTGCCCAACTTGAGAACTCGAGAACTGTCAAATCCTTCTTGGCTGCTTTCCCACTCGACTGATCACCTGTTCCAGTTCAGTCTCCTATTGGTTCAGCTCAAGTGTTCCTGAACCGGTTTCCCACTCGGCCGGTCACCTGTTCCAGTCGAGTCTCCTATTGGTTCAGATCAAGTGCTCCTGAACAACTTTCCCACTCGGCTGGTCACCTCTTCCAGTCAAGTCTCCTTGTTGTCCAGCTAAGTTACAAGCTATCTGAAAACCCTTGACAACGCCCCACACTCGGGCACCTTATTAAGGTTACTGGGTTAAATTACTAGGTTGATCGAAACAATCGAACTTGTAAAACAGTATGGGTATACTATTTAATTAAAATAAAGGTTTGATCCAACTAATCTGGTGTCAAAGTCACTGTCTTTTTTCGTTTTATGGTTTTTGTTCCTTTTTCTATTCTTTTTTGGTTTTTTGTTTTGCTTTTTGTCTTTTTGCTCGTGTTTTTGTCCCCCTAGTTGCCCCCCTTTACTCGGTTAGCTAAGCCTCGTTCGGAGAGCGTACCAGGAAGTTTTCTTGAGTTTTCTTAAAAAGCTATCACGGTACAACCGGAAGGTTTGCACGTTCCTGTCGAACCGTACCGCCGGTACTCTAGAATGGGCATTCAGCCCGAAGCTGTCTCAAGTGGGGTGATGTCGTAAACACCCAGGAGCGCCATAAAAACACTATGTAATATTCGTCTACTGCAGTCACACATGAGGCTTAAGAAAAATAGGCCCTATAACCATTGGCTCAAGAGTCAGGGACACTATCTCTTGTGTTTTTGTACCTCAAATCAGTCGGAGCCAATTCGGTTCGCTTGTGACATGAGACTACGACCCGTTACAGCTTAAAGGCTACTACTAAAATATCCCCCCACTCTAGAATTAGAAACGTCCCCATACTTAGGTCTCTAGATACCCAAAATACATGAACGCCATTAAAAACCGGGTTGGAACAATCCGTTAAGTTACTTTTTATTAGACAGTGGAACTTTGATCCATTTCAGATGGATCAACCTAAAACTCGCCTTACCTCAACATAACAATTATAAAACACACTCTAGAAATTTAAATTAGTACTCACATTGTAGCACGCTCAAGAACCAGGAAGTAAATAAGTCGGTGAGCAACTCAAGAATCAATAAAGTAACTAAAATGAGTTTAATGTTAGTCAGTTTTAATAACAAGAACAAGTTTTTACTTTAGACTGTAAGTTCTCGTGAACCATTGGGACACTCTAGCTGTCCACCTTTCCACCGAAGGTTCACTCTAGTCCAGTTTAGAATAATACTCCAATCACAACAATCCAGTTCGTGGGAATGCGCTCGTTTCTGTTTTAGATGGGACAGCTCTACTCGATTATTATTGCTACTGAAATTGCGAATAGCAATTTCCCACTGATTTTTCTAGCAACTTTCCCGCGATTGTCACTCGATCGTTCTGACTTTTCTTTTCTGATTTTCAGTTCTCGCGAGAAAATCGTGCATGACAGGTTCCATTCGAAATTTTGAAAAATTAAATTTCACTCCAAAATTAAGTGTTTTTTGCTTCTCTCAAGGTCAAACTTCCAAATATGACCGACTGGCACGTTCTAAACGTGATATGACCGAGCGGCTTTCTAAACGTTCTAAACGTGATAGCGTTTTGCACGTTTAGAAAGCCGCTCAATTTCGAGCATGAAGTCAGACATGGCCATATCCAGGGAATGTGAGAACTTCTCGAAACCTGCGAATGCATTGTGCTCACAGTATGTTTCTTCACGTTTGTTGCTTTCTCTAGCTGTTTAAGCAGATTTGCTAGCGCTGCAGCTAGTTATTGTTCTTTGCTCGCAAGATCTGTTAGTCTCCTCCGAGTTTCCAGTTTATTACGCTAGTTAGCTTTATCTTTGTCGACCCCCGGTGGCTTGTTCAAGCTGGTCGGTTGATCGCTCATCCTGCTACCAATGTTTCATCCGTACATAGATCAAACACTGAACTAGCAAAGAGATAAAGAAAAAACGGATTGCAATTAATAAACAAACTGTAACATTAACATTTTAGCTGCAAAATTTCAAATAGGGTCACAATATTAACTCATTGTGAATCATTTGACCGTCAAAAAGATAAGTTTTCATATGCTGTAACATCTTCGAACCACCTGAATTTTGGATTTCAGTAACATGTAATGACGACAATCATGCCATTTTCGGAGCCATTGTACTCCAGCAACTGATGCGAAAATTTCATTTGCCTCTGTGCTTTTAAGTGATGTTTACAAAACAGTGTGATGAAGGAAGACTTTCTAAAATTGTGCTCACCTAATTATTTAAACTTCCCGATTACACTAAAATTCTAAAAAGAAGAGATGTTTTTTTTGAATTTTTCAGTTACAAAATGTGCTAAATGATTCGATTGACTCTGTGGATTGTCATATTCTGCACAATGGGAAAATCTGAAATTGAGGATCAGTACAGCCCTTTTCAAACACCAGCGACCACCGAAGACGAATTTGTTGTTCTCGACGACGAAGAATTAAACACAGCAGGTCTAACTATGAGCTTGGATCAAGAAGGTAAATTGTGACACCTCTAAGTTAAATGTTTTATTTGTACTTACGCTCTCCCTTTTTGTAGCCCCCAGAGCAGAAGTTTATAGAAACCAAAAATCAAAATATTAAGAGTAATGAACGTAGTGAGAAATCTTATGTAGGTCTTGCTTGTTGATTTTTTTGTTTTTTTTTCAGGAAAAAGTCTTAAATTTTGTTCACGCTCAATTTTGATTTTACGCGGTTTGACTTATGATGTTTTTTCAAGTTCAGTTTATTTCTATTGTTAAACGGAAAGCAAACTCAACTATCGAACAGCAAAAGTGTAAAGGTCACGAAAAACGTGATCGACTTCTAATTTCGAAAATGGACATTAATTATCAGATTTCGCAGCGAAATAAAATATTTGCCTATTGATCCAGTCTTCTCAAACTGTGTTTATTTGAACAAAAAAGTGTCCATGATAAATTGTTCTAGAAATTCAAAGAGCTTTAAGGCCGTCTATTTCTTTCTTCGAAATTCAAAAGTTGAAGGTTTTTGAAAAAAAAAACAGTTTCCTTGTGTTAATTATTCTTGTCCTATCTTCGATTGCCTATGTTTTTTTTTTACTTTTTCAATCAAAGGAGGATAATGGCGTGGGGAGTAATCATTCATATGTTTGCGTTTTCATCTTTCCATTACAGACCCCCAGCAAATCATAGCCCACCACATCATACAAAAGTAAGGGTAGTTGGGATATAATTTCTTGTCAAAACTGACAGGGGCGGATCCAGGATTTTCTCGAGAAGGGGGCGGATTTTTCGAATTTGTCGACCTCTTTTTTAGGTCGTCCAAATTGATTTTCCGAGCTCTCCCAAAGCTTTAAAAAGACCCGCTTTTGGTCTAATTTTCTGCTCCGAAGGAAAAAAAAACAGACCAAAAAGGCATTCTTAGGTACTTTTTGGAACATTTTGACCAAAAAATCGCGCTTTTTCGGCGCGCGCTCCCCCCTCATTAATAGAATATTGGCGCCAAAGGCGCCTTTAGAACAGTTTTAGGTTGCGTCACCAAAATGGAAATAGTACAAAGGAGGGATGGCGCATTGAATTCCCTAAAAAGCCCTGGCGCTTCAAGTTTTTAGTGTTTCATGCCCAGCTTCAAAATATCAAAACAAGATAAAACCCTTGCAAGAACTTCTCTAGACAAAAACATTATTAAAGGTTATGTTTTATATATACTATTTTTAAATGCGTGGTTAAGCTATATCGTATATTGCAATGCTTAAGATTTTTTTCGTTTTTGCAGTTTGAATCTAATGTTTGCTCCACCGAGTTAAAATTAGGCAAAACAATAGCGGTGTGCTGTCAGAGTTTGGCCAGGGTTGCGAATTTGGTCTCCTATTATGAATGCCCAAATCCTTTTAGTGTACGAGGTACGACGATTTTTGTGATTTTTTCAAATGTTTTCAGAAAACTCAATTTAAAAAATAATTTACAAAACTTTAATTTCTCAACCCTGTAGTTTGGTTAAGTCAGAATACTCGCAAGGATTGCGAATCTTGCCACCTAATGTGATTGCTCAAGTTCTTGTAGTTTTCGAGATATGACGTGTTTAATGGTTTCTTATTAATTTTTCAGAAAACTCAATTTAAAAACTTAAAATCCCTAACCCTGTAGCTGGGTGCTGTAAGATTTTTCTCAAGGATTGCTAATCTTGCCTCCAAATTTGACTGCTCAAGTTCTTCTAGTTTTCGAGATATTACGTGTTTTATGATTTCTTTTTAATTTTTCAGAAAACGTAGATTTTAAAAAATTCAAAATATTTGAAATTCGTAATCTTGTTATTGGTTACTGTGAGGGTACTCTCAGAAGTTTCAAGATCTAAATCTTGCGTCCAAATGCGACTGCTAAAATGCCATTAGTTTTCGAGGTATGACGTTTTTTGTGATTTTTCAAAAAGTTTACAAAAAACTTATATTTATTTTTTTTTCTTCAAATTTTGATATGCTCTACGCTCTTTTTGCGGGCTGTCAGAATCCTGTCGGGGGCTGCAAATTTCACTTTCATTTATGAATTTTCAATTTTTTGTAGTTTAGTGAAGTGAATTTTTTGTGATACTTCAAAAAAAATTTCAGAAATCTTAAATTCATTTTTTTTCGTCAAATTTTGAATTTCAAACCGTTTAGTTAGGGACTTTCAGATCACTTCTGGTTGTTGCGAGTCTCACCTCTAAGTATGACTGCTCAAGTGTTTTGATTTTCGAGACGCTTTTTTGGTTTTTCAGTTTTTTCAAAACTTGAGTTTGAAAATTTTCTCAAAATTTGAAATTCCTAACCCTGTATTTGCGTAATGTGAGAGTACTCTCAGGAGTTGCAAATTTCGCGTACGAATTCGACTGCTGCTCAAATGCTTTAAGCTTCCATGATGTGACGGTTTTTATGTCATTTTAAAGTTTTTCAAAGGATAGAAGAACGCAAAATTTAATGATTTTTTTTTTCATATTTTGAAGTAAAACAACTCATAAAAAAATTGTTGTTAAATTAGAAATTCGAACTCTGTTATTGGGTGCTGTCAGAGTACACTCATAGTTTGCAGCTATGTTTTTCAATATAAGCGGCTTTTTTTTATGAGTTCTCAAAAGTTCGAAGCGCCGGAGGTGCGTTACACGCTAGCTAAAAGTTTATATCCAGATACATCTTGTTGAAGACCTTTCATTCGTGATTCAAACAGTTTTGAAATCAGTGGAAACACTTTTCCCAGTGTCGAGAAAATTTGGTTTAGTTTTTTGCTATTTATTCTATTCTCGAGCGAGTTTTTTTTTTAATTTTATGTTTTATTTTTCAATTTTCTGTAGTCGATTATGACTAATTTAAATTCTAAGTTCGTCTCATCCCATCGCGCACAAAAATTGAAAAAATTTGAAAAAAAAGAAGCCAAATGATTTGGGTTGTGATCGATACTTTCTCTGCTTTGAGTTATTTTTATCACCGAAGTGGCAATCATAAATTTGTTTAAAATTCTAAGAGCATTTTTTTTTTATTTTGGAGTTCGAAATTTGAAGTTTTTTCAAAGAACAAGTCAGTTTTTCTTCTCTGTTTCGTTTTTTCTCCTTATGTTTCCGTTTTTCAGTAAGATGTACAATGGTAACCTTGGTCTTAAATGTTTGTGGCACTTGCACCTTTACTCTTGATACCTAATTGTGCCTTTAGAAAATTGATTTGATTGTTGTTTCTCGTTTTCGTAATTAGTTGAGGAAGAGTGGCTGGTTCCAGTAGAGGAGCAACTTTGTGGGGTACTCGAATCCTCAATCCCACCAGAGTACAGATCCTTCTCCCAGTGGGTGACCTTGGACGACCCCTCTGTCTCTGCAATAGCGACCACTGCCACCCGAGCCACTAGCTCTGTCGAACTCACAAGTCCTCTGACGTCATCGCCCCCACTTGTCATCTGTGCCTGTGAACATGTTTCATCCCCACTTGAACTGCACGACGCGAATAATCCGTGTCCAAATTTGAAATCAACCTGTGAAAAGTTGCAAGCAAGATCGAATGAGGAAGGCGCAAGTTCGTCTGTTGTTGGAAAATGATTTTGTAAATTTGTGTCGCTAGCATAAACTTGTTTGGATAGTTTCAATTACTTAGCTTTGCACTCTAAAAGTCATTCGCTTTATTGAATTTTTAATTGTAAATTACTTTCACGATTGTGATAGATACTGATAAATTTCATTTAAAAATGTTGTTTGTTGAAGAATGCCACTTGCTTGATCATTAGGAGTTGAATTAACGAAGCTTATAGGTTGAACTTTTTTCGGTGGCTGCAATTTAATTTATCTGTTTCTAACAGTAGCGAATTTAGCGACCCCCTTATCTACTTATTTTGATGGGGAACACGAGTCGAATGTACACGGATTTTGCATGCGGTGCAGAAAAATTGCTCGAAATAGGGTCTTAATAGTGATTTGTGAGAGCTCGCAGAATCATTTGGTCTGTGACAGTATGTTAACTCTGTTGTTGTATTTCAGTGATATGTGTCCGGTGGGGTTTTAATTAAAGTTCTACAAACCAGTGTTTTATATGGTAGCAGGAGGTAGACGATGGCAAATACGAGTTATAAAACCCCGCCGCAATGGAAAGATGAAATGTCTTTTGAAGCATGGAAGACAGAAGTGGATGTTTGGAATGCTATCACAGATTTAGCTGACGGGAAGAAAGGCCCTTGTGTGGCTTTATCACTTGGTAGTTCGAAACGTGAGATTGCCATGTCTATTCCACTTGATGAACTGAAAGCTAATGATGGGCTCACTAAGGTTCTTGCGCAGTTGAAGTTATCATTTGGGAAGGATACTGCAGACCAGTTATTTTCGGATTATGAGAAGTTTGAGACTATTCAACGGAACAGTATGCCTATAAATGACTACATCACCGCTTTCGAGAGTGCGAATAAACGATTAGTGAAACATGGGTTGGAATTACCTGATGGTATCTTAGCTTGCAAGCTATTACATTGTGCTGGTTTGGATGATCGCGATAAAAAGTTGGTTTTGTCGGCGACAGGAGACATCCAGTTTGTTAACATGAAAAAGAGTTTGAAGCGTATTTTTTCCACTGAAGTTTCTCAGAGGAACTCGTGTGCTCCGGTTGTGAAAGATGAACCGGTTTTTGCTGCAACAGGTGGTTTTCAACCAGGAGGATGGCAAAACCGTGGGGGACCACGGAGAGGAAGAGGAGTTCGTGGTTCTTTCAGGGGTGGAAGTTCTGGACGTCGAAATACAGCTGGGTCAAATCCCGTGGATAGAAGTACTGGAAAAATCAGTGTTTGTACCAACTGTGGTTCACGGTTCCACTGGGTTCGTGAGTGCCCTGATAAAGAGAAACAAGTTTTTGCTTCACAGGCAGAAACAGAAGAAGACGAAAAGGTAGATGAGACAGTTTTCTTGAATTTTGCGATGCTCACTGCTGCTCTTCTGAACGAAGCGTTTGGCAAGGCGGTTCTAGATTCAGCGTGTACTGCAACTGTGTCTGGACAAGTATGGATGGAAAACTATATTTCCCAGTTGCCGGATTATTTACAAGCTTTAGTTGAGCGTGAAAAAGTCGATACCCATGTTGTGTTCGGTGGTGGTGAGCGGATCAAAGTTGAACATAAGTGTTTCATACCTGTTAAAATCGGCAATGTTACTTGTTTTCTCGGAGTATTGGTTATTCCCGGTCAGTTGCCGTTATTGATTAGTGTTGCGTCGATGACTAAAGCAAGATTTAGTATTGATTTTCACACCAGTATGTTGAGTACATCAGATGGAGGAAAAATCCAGTTACAATGTTCGAAAACTGGACATTTGTTGCTGGATATCAGTTTTGGAAATGAAGAGTTCTGTTGCCTGAGTTCTGGTAATTTGAACTCTCAGCAAGTTATGAAGTTACATCGTCAGTTTGCTCATTGTGGTTCGACCAGACTAGAGAAGCTAATAGCTAAATCTGGTGCTAAAGTAGTGAATTGCACCGTTGCTGAAGTCGTACGTGACTGTGAAGTTTGCCAGAGGTTCGGACGAGCTACTCCGAAGCCAAGTGTGTCTTATCCTATCAGTATGGAATGGAATAATACTGTGGCTATGGATTTGCACGAGATGGCCCAGTCGGGACACACTTTGTGGTATTTACACGTGATTGACTTGTTTAGTCGTGTTAGTGCAGCTGTGTTCATTACAAACAAAAGACCGAGTACAATTATTGAAGGTTTTCTTCGTTGTTGGTGCTTGGTTTACGGATATCCGAAAGCTGTTTTAACTGATAATGGTGGTGAGTTTGACAATGCTGATTTTCAATCATTTGCTCAAAATAATGATATTATCGTGAAGACTACGGCAGCTTTTTCACCCTGGTCCAACGGCGTTGTTGAGCGGCACAACGCAGTTCTTACAGACATGCTGGAGAAATTACTGGCCGATGAATCAGTTTCTTTGAGTAAAGATATTGTTTTACAGCATGCCGTTTTTGCTAAAAATAGCTTGGCTAACAACGATGGCTTCTCACCGTTTCAAGTCGCGTTTGGTTTTGGACCGCATGTCCCATCTGTTCTTACCAATAAACTGCCAGCTTTGGAATGCGAGACCACTTGCGAAGTTGTAGCGCAAAACTTGAATGCGTTGCATAAGTCTAGAAAATTATTTATCGAAGCTGATTGCAGTAATCGCATCAGACGGGCTCTCAAAGCCAAAGTAGTGACTGACAAAGGGCCATTTGTTACTGGGAATAGCGTGTTTTATAAAAGGGACGGAGAACTGAAATGGCGAGGTCCTGCAAAAGTTATCGGTCAAGAAAGTAGTGTTGTTTTTGTGCGACATGGTGGCCGTGTTGTAAAAGTACACACTTCGCGATTGAAACGATGTGCAGATCAGTTTCAACAGATGTCAGAAGCAGAAGCTGGATTCGAGGAGAAAAAGGAAGTTTTTGGCGAAAGTGGTTCAACAGACGCTGATCGCCAGGTTGTTGTTGATGAAACTGATGATGAAGGCGAAAATACAGCTACAATTGAACCTGGTATCGAAAAAGGACTCCGTATTGATGTACCAGGCGATACAGCAGTTAATTGTGTTCCAAACGACGTTGCTGAGACTATTTCTGAGGATTTATCACGAGAGTGCTTGAAACCTGCCGCTGGTCGACGGATTCGTTTTGTTTCACGCCAATCTGGGTTTGAAGGAGAAGAAATTGAAGCGATTGTCAAAAGCAGAGGAGGAAAGTCGACAGGTGTTCATAAAGACTGGTGGAATATTGTTTATGAATCTCCCAAAGAAATTAAAGGGAATTTGGATTGCGTTGACGTGTCAAAACTGGAGGATGTAGAAGTCAGTGCTCTGAACGCGACTGCATATGTCTATTTTGAAGCGAAAATGGATGAAATGAAGAGTTGGAAGAAAAACGAAGTATTTGAGGAAGTTATCGACGAAGGGCAAGAATATCTGTCCTGCAAGTGGGTGCTCACTCAGAAGCCAGATAGAAAGAAAGCACGACTCGTAGTTAGGGGTTTTGAAGATCCAGATCTTCATAACGTCATAAAGGATTCTCCGACTTGCTCCAAAGATACTTTCAGGATAGTAGTATCACTCTGTGCCTCCAAGGCGTGGAAATGTAATTCGATGGATATAAGAACGGCGTTTTTACAAGGAAAACCTCTTACCCGTGATGTATATGTTATGCCACCGCCGGAAGTTGGATTATCGGGGAAACTCTGGAAATTACGAAAATGCGTTTACGGGCTTGTTGACGCGGCTCGACACTGGTATGATAAAGTTAAAGACGAAGTATTGGCCACAGGATGCTGTGTTTCAGAGTTTGATCCGTGTTTGTTTTACAAGAAAAATCAAGCGGGTGAAATAGTTGGACTGTTAACTACCCATGTTGACGATTTTTTGTGGGCTGGCACCGAACAGTTTGAATATTCTGTGATGAAGTCGCTTGACGTGGTTTTCGACATCAGATCGACAGAGACAGCTCCATTTCGTTATCTTGGGTTTGACTTATCGCAAACGGAAAGAGGAATTAAACTGGACTTATCCTCGTATGTAGAAGAATTGCGGGAGATTATTGTGCCAAAACATGATTTTGTGGTCAACAAGTTTGCTAGGCGTGATATGCGTGCTATTCTGGGGAAGTTACAATGGGTCGCATCACAGGTTCGTCCTGATGTGTCTTTTCAAGTATGTCAATTGCTTGGTTCGTCCAAAGATTGGCAGCGCTCACATTTCTTAGCTGTCAATAAAATTGTGAGAAAATTGAGGTATTCTGCATCTGATTCATATTTGATGTTCGAGAATCTTGGAAGTGCAGATGAGTGGAAACTGAACGTTTTTACCGATTCTTCTCTTGGAAATTTGCCTTGTGGTGGCACCCAGTCCGGTTATTTGGTCTTTTTACAGGCGTCTGACAAAAGACCTGCTCTTTTGAGCTGGAAGTCTCAGAAACTGAGACGTGTTGTCAGGAGCACTTTATGCGGAGAAACAATTTCTTGTGTAAATGCAGTTGATGCTGCATTTCTTTGTCAAAAGATTATTTCTGAGTTAACGGGGGAAAATGTCAATATTCGAACATATACGGATAATCTTTCTTTAGTGCAAAACGTTTTCTCAACGAAAGTTCAGAAAGACAAGAGACTGAGAGTGGATATAGCGTATTTGCGTTCTTTGATCAATGATGGAATTCTACACCAGTTAAAATGGGTTCCTACAGACGAATTGGCAGATTGCCTAACAAAGTTATCTCCAAAGTCGTCGGAAAGTTTGCAACAATTTATGTTGGGCCAGAAAAGTATTTAGTTATATCGAGTGACTGCTCATGATAATATTTTTCTTGCCACCAGAAAGTCTCCGTATAGCACTTGTTATTCCTTTCTTGAGTTATTTTCATTACTCTCTTTTTGTTCACAGCTGGATAATTCGTTACTGGACAACTATTCCAATATTCAGTAATCCATTCGCCGATCATTGATGATCCATGCGAACTCAATAAGAAAGTCTGGGGAATATGTGACAGTATGTTAACTCTGTTGTTGTATTTCAGTGATATGTGTCCGGTGGGGTTTTAATTAAAGTTCTACAAACCTAAAAAGGTCGACAAAACTTTCCAATTTTCTTAAAGATCGATGCCCCCCCCCCACTCGAGAAAATTGTAGATCCGCCCTGGCCTATAATATAACAATGATGCCTGAGCTTGATAAAGTCTGATATTTCAGGATTATTTTTATGGCTCGTACACAGCCGCGCAGAATTTTCGCACCTAGTGAGCTTGAAAAGTTTGAAGTGAACTTGTCAAATCTTGAGGTTGCTGTGAGCAATCTGTTCAAAAGCAACCCTTTAAAACAATCTGAAAACGACCCCGGTCAAAAAGAGTTACAAAGCAATAGCGACTTTGCTCACCAGTGGCTTCTCTGGGTCCAAAAGTGTCCGGAAGCATGGCAAATAATCTGGTATCTTCTGGATCCCAAAGGTCAGCAAACAGGAGAGCAGGTGCCAGTATTAAGCCCAGAGCTGCAGTATTTTGGGGCAAATACGCTGCAGTTCAAAATACAAAAGAACTTGAACAGTCTTAGTACCGAAGAAATCGTTTTGTTGCGTGATAAAATGATAGCCTTAGTGACCAAAATGGCTCCTGGAAGTTGTACGGAGAGTCTACCTAAATTTGTGTACACTAGGGTTCTAGTATGTCTAGCAGCTCTGATTATACGAACTGTTGGTGATCAGAATCAACTCACTGAAACAATTTGGGGTCCTTCACGTGACCCTGTGGGTCAACTGATTAGTTTGTTCAGCAATGGTCAAGCAGTTCAGACCATGGAAGCACATGCGAGGCTGAGCATTCTGCTACAGTTACTCACTTATATACCGGAAGAGTATGGCACTAGTTACCTGACTAAGCGTGTGAGGAGTTACGTGTTGTCGTATTGCAGTAAAGTGGCTATGCCAAGTGTGATGAACTTGGTGATGACTTTCCTGAAAGTGACATCGACTACGACGGAGCAGAAAACATCAGCGCTCAAGTAGGGATGACTTAATAATTATATTTACACTAGCTAGCGTCGTGTAATAGTACTTCTTTTCTGTTTTTCAACCTTATTCATAAATTTTGGTGCCAAATTTGGTGGCACCTTTACGGCTTTTTGATTGCATGTACTTTGACATTCGATTAGTGAGAAGTCAACACGATTGACGCGTTTTCAATTCATCAAGTGTACCGACAAAAGCTATTTGTTTCAAACAACAATACAATAATAATAACTCGATTCCAGAAGATTTTCATCTCAATATATCTCGCAATTTTTTTCAAATGCGTAAGTTATACAGAATTTGACTTTATTTTCCAATATATTGGATACCGGACATCAAGCCGACGGGACTTCAAGCCATTCTTAAGTGGCTTCTTAATACCATTCTTAAGTGGTGCAATGTTAAAAAGAATGCTTATTATGAACTAAATATGCATAAATTTTTGAAAATAAACTACTGATGAAAAAAATAATCGTTTTGAGATGCTTGTAAAGTTTAACTTTTGGCTTTAAGTCCCTTCGGCTTGAAGTCACGTCGGCTTGAAGTCAGGTCGGCTTGTTGTCCTAGACCCCAATTTAGTACATGCAAAATTAGCGTGGATGCCTTCAGTTTGCTATATTCCAAATTATTACATGCAAAATTGTGTCTATTAATTTTTGCTGCCATTTTTGCTGCAGCGCATTGGCAATTTATTCGCATATGTAGCTGCTTAATTCGTGACTAATGTTTGCCGATCGTAAAACGTCCGTAACCGAGAGGGCGTGAGACTCTAAGCCTCAAGGACGCAGGGTAGAATCCGATACGTAGCAACGTTTTACTTATTCAAGGCTTAAGTTTACTTTTTCTTATTTAACCAAATAAGGTTTTTTTGTCGTGTTCTCACTAGTGTTTGCGAAGCACAGCTTCGCATCTGTGCGTTAATTTTTTCGTGCTGAAATACCTAGATCTACCAAAAATTACAGCGTTTTATTACAAAATCTTTTCATTCCATGATCGAAGAGTTTTGAAATTGATGTTTCGTTTAAGTGCGCATACTGGTCCGTTGTAAATATTCTGAAAGGTCGTGGAAGAGTTTTCGTGAAAAAAGAAAAAAGAAGAGTGTAAAATCAGAAAAGTTTAACTAGACAGTGAAATTTTTACACGAATCATTGTTCAACTGACTAGTTTTAATGAGATTTGTCCGAATTCTTAGTTCTTTTAGCGTGATCAATGCCTGGTGCCAATTTGGGGTCCCTCTTTCTGAAAACGGAGAGCTCATTCAACTTCTATTTGGCCACTTGTTGTCCCAAACTGACATCGAGCATGGTATTGTCAGTGACTTGTTCGGATGCCTCGGGCATCTTGTAGCGCAGCCAGCGTCTGCAAAATGTCCAAGTGCTTTCTTCGGCATAATTTTACCCACGACCGTGCAGTCGATGGCAGAGCTCATCAGTAAGGTATGCTGCTCCATTTTAATCCTACGAGAATATGTTTAGTGCCAATGCTTTTGAGGCTATCGGAGCCTATATGAGCGTGATACTACACTTGGATTTACGTAGGGTATTGTAACAAGGTATTGGAAATCGTACATTTAAAAACTTCGTTCAGAATTCATCAGTTTACTTTAATAGCGTCTCCCGCTACCGATTTTTCCCGGTAATACTTATACCCGCTTAGTGTAGAGATAACGCACATGCTTGAGACGACATTTTGATATATTCGTTTAATAATGAAATTAAAAGGATCCTAAAAAACTCGATTTTGTCTCTTTCAAGGTCCATAAAGTTTGTAGGGGCGCTTAATGGAGTTTCAAGAAATCCGATCTTTCCTCTTCGCAGAGAATTTCATCCGCCAGTTTTTGAGTGAAATAAGCATTGATGACATCAATCTGTAATAAAGATTAGATTGATCCTAATTGGTCTTGAGAAAATATGAAACACATTGAAAGAAGTGTAAATACGTTGCTGTTTTTCATTTTAATAAAAAAAAACATTTTCAAATCTTATTCCGCGTAGTTTTGTGACACGAGTTGTGCGTAGCTCCGCTTCGCCTCTGTTTTCATATATCGCAAGTTGATCTGCATTTTTTCCAGGTTCTTAATGAAGGCGACGAGAACACAGTGAATGCAGCCTGCAGCTACTTGATATCACTCGGTGACTCATACACAGGCTCAATTGCATTCCCAGCAACAGACCAGCAGGGATGTGTGGAAGAGAACTGCACTCGATGTGTGTCCCTGTGTGAGATGATTCTCAAGTTCACAGGGTACCCTGCTGTGTATCCAATTGGGGAGACATGTAGCACTTTGACGTTTAGCTTCTGGTATAATCTACAGGTACGTTGAATCATCAGTGCCAAAATAATCTCGAAAAAATTGACATAATAGCACCCAATACATGACCTTGAGGCTATTAGAACCAACTATATAAAACAGTGTATTGTATGTGATCTATTTACTATATTTTCAAATGCAGTATCCGTTATATTGTCAAATGTATAAGCTTTTTTGTCCACACCAGCTATTGCTGTATGAGACATACATGCAGCTTAAAAAGATATAGGTAAATAGCTACTAGCTTTCATCTTGCTGTTCGCAATAACTGACCCAGATTTAGCAAAATCTTACATAGGCGAAGCCCATCCACTTATTTACTTCACAGAAGCTTGACAAGTAAATACCCGGCAGCATTGAATGCTCTTTAAGAATCGCATAAAAATAAAACCTGTCAAGGGATACTGAAAAGCCTTAAAGAATTTGAGCTGTCAATGGATACTGAAATTGAGCACAAAAATTGAGAGTTATCTTTAAAAAGCCAAATGAACTTAGTTGCACAAGTCATATGAAACAAAGTTCAGTTTGAGAGCGTAGTTGGCCTTAAAATTGTTAGTAAAATTCATCAAAATACGACCACGGATACTTGGAAACGAAATTGGCATAAAAATCCACAAAATTTAAAGCTCGTGGTTCATTACGCTTGCGATCAGGAAGCATTATCAAACTGGAATATAGACTTTTGTTTTCTAGTTAACAACTAGTTTAACAAAATCAGTTGAATCACTTGCTGACTATGCAGCTGACTTTTTTTCCTTTCTCTTGTGTTCTCTTAACACCTTGCAGGTTGATTACCTCTGGGCTTGGAGGTAAATCAGTTGCCTTTCAACCCGAAGATCTGTGGTTCGAGTCGTGGCCGGTCCGCGTTTTTTTTTCAGTATCAAGGAAATTGAAAAATGAATTCCGGGAAAAATGAATTGTTGGTTTTTCGTTTTTTTTTCGCTCAAGTTTTGTTATTTCAAGTGATTAGAGCTCAAAGATTGTTGGCTTGGATTTTTCTTGTGCTTTTAGCAACTTTGACTGTAGTTGCAAGTGCAAGTGTTGTCCATTGTTGTTTAAGGTGAGACTTTTTTATAACATATTTTTTTCTGCTCAACTTGTGTCTGCTCAAAGACAGTTGGCTTGTTTCATTTCGTGAATTTTGTTCCGTGGCTGCTGTTTTAAAATTCAAGTGTCTGGCACTTCTATCTAGACATATGAAAGTTTATATGTCCTAGTTTTTTTTTTCAAAAATGTTCATTTTCTCGGCTTTTGATGTTTTTTATGTTAGTGTCGTATCGCAAGTGGTGCGAAGCTCCGCTTCGCCTCTGTGTTGACGCTTCGCTTCAAATCATAAGTATCATGCGTTCTTCTTCCTAAATACGCTTTTTCTGAGAACAATTACATTTCGGTTTTGTTACAAGTCCAGAAAATTGAACTTTGGCAAAAACCACAATTAAATTAGACGTTATCAAAAAATCGAAATTGGAAGTCGATGCAAATCTACATTTATGAAAAAGTAGACTTAATTGAATAATAATCGTTTTTGAAATGTTAGCTTTCTGACATGCGAATCAAAGTTCCACATGTCACAATTGTATAACATTCAGCTATGTTTGATATTATTCGGATAATTTTTTTAACATAAAGATAAAGCTTCACTTCGCAGACACGTGCGAAAAACGCCAAGAAGATTTTTAGAATGGTGAAAAAAGAGAGAATACTAAAAACATTGAAATTTGAAAATTAAAAGGCATCTAACGAGAATTGAACCTCAGTCCTCGGATATTCAAGTTTTCCAGTTGACTTCCCTACACAATTGGGCCACTGACACTCATAGAAAGCAAAAACAAACGAGAAAGTGGCAAAAGGGATCTTCGAAATGCAAGAAAACACAAATTTTGCATGTAGATTTTTGGAATGTAATGAATTAAAGATAACCACAGTTACTTTGCGTATAAATTACATGAACTTTGCAAGAATGCATTTCGAAAGTTTCGCGAAATATGCTGAGTTGAAATGATTGTACTGTTGCATGAAACAAATATCTTTCTTCGGTTCATATGATGAATTGAAAATGAATCAACTGTGTTAACTTCTTAGTAATCAAATGTCAAGAGTTTGCTAATAAATGGCCAATTCAATCTTATGCTGTAATTTTGTCACCAAAAGTAGTGCTAATACTTACTAATTAGTTTTGAAAAAGTAGCCTTGTAGTATACATATTCATTCTTACATCAAACTACACTCCGCTTTTTTTAAAAGTAATAAATGATTTTAGACACTCTTCACTGAGAGTTGCGTCCAGATCTACCAAATTTTATAGGTCGGTCTCCTCCTGTTTAATGTTGTAGATGATGACATTGAGTAAAATTACAATGAACTTGAGCAGAGGCTGTTTGATAACCTTTTGATAACAGGACATTTTGATCTGTAATTGAGGTAATCTAATTTCGAGCAATTTATTGTTTCACCGCACACAACTTATAGACGTGGAATTTATGCAATTTTCGAAAAAAACTCAGTCTTATAAATCATATTAGATTAACTTTAAACCCTAAGTTTTTTTTCCTAGTCAAAAATAACATCTCTAGGTCTAAAATGTAAAATTGTAGAAAATAGCCCCAAAAGTTTTTTTAATCAAAAAATAACATCACTATCGTGATCTTCGCACAAAATAGGGCTATAGGTTGTTTTTTTTAGTAACTTATTTGTCGACTCTTTTGAAGCTGAATCACTTCGATCAAAGTCGGGGTGTCAGTGTAACTAAACTTTGTTGCAGATTTTTCATTTAGGTTTGGAAAGTTAGCCCTAAAAGTTTTTTCATAGTCCAGTTGGTTGTATTAGCTCGAGAGACCAACAGAACTCTTGATTTTTCAATAAATGGAACTTTTTTGGATGAGAAACTTACTTAAAAAAGTTCGAGCCTAGCCCTAAAATTACGCTAGACCTAAGTCGCCTTAAAATTTCAAATAATTATCCTAACTGAACCATTGGTACATATTCGGAAACTAGTTAAACAGGGCTTTCCAAATTTGAAAAATAATGCTCAAATACACCTTTTTTAACAGTTTTTTTGCTAGCAATAACTTGACCAAAAAGTGTTATTTGCTGAACCCCATTTTTTTCTAGACCGTTTTTTCGTTTTTTTCTTTGAAGTGATTACTATTGCCAAAAAACGAATTTACAAGTCTCTCGGACAGCGGGATCACTTTTGAGCCGATATATAAAAAATGCGCTGAGCCGACGTCTAGCCCGGTCACTTTTTGGCAACAAAGGTTCCGAAAAGTGAAATGAACAGGAAAATTTATCCTGCCGAAAAAGTGACATGTGAGTTGGGGCTGACGCCGAAAATTGACTAGTGTCTGCTTTTTCGTCTGAAAACCCTTACTAAGTCCTCAAACACCATCAACGAGGTTGTTACTCCATTAAGTAAACACAAAAAAGCAGAGCTTATGGCGTTTTCAACAAAAGTTGACTGAAAATTATAAAATAAAGGAAAACAAGCCCAACCCCAAAAAAAACAATTAGCCTGAAACTCGTAGAAAAAAAAAAACAAAAATTGACACGAAATTGAAATAAAACATATGCCTATGGTTGAAACTTCTTTTGCGACGTTAATCGACTAAAAGTTTTAAAGATAAACAACAAAATGATTATTTGACGTCCAACCCTAAAATTAGAAAAAAACTCAGCAATCATTTGTTTTGGAATTTAGCTGAAAATTGTCTCAAAACCTTCAGTAAGTCCCAAAACACTTAAAGACAACACAAATCTGTTACTCATTCGAAAATTTACAAAAAATAGAGTTTATAACCATTATCAACAAACAAACTGACTGAAAGTTAAACAATAAAGGGGAAGCAAGCCCAATCCCGAGGATGAACCCTAGCCCCGAATAAAAGTAATTTTACCCCAGCCTTTAAACTAACCCTAAAACCTTTCTCTTATTTCATTAGAGAAACACTGTCCCCTACTCAACACTAGCCACTAGATAGAGATAACCAGGAGCAATTTTTTATAACAGCTTTTTTTATAACAACGGTTTCATGGTAAATCTTTATCACTTTTTAAAGTGGATTAGAGACATATGGAGATCATTTCCATAGGTTTGATGTCCAAATTAAATCCGTTAGTGAAGTTTTTTCCCAATGAACGGCATGTTCGAGAGTATCAGTTTTCACTACGAAATTGAAGATGTGAAATGACCCAAAAATTTTTCTGAACTTTTTTTTTAATCCAAAAGTTTGCTTTTTATCCCCAATAAGGAGTTCACCTACAAAATTTTAACCTTTATTGTCCGATAGTTGGGGCGAAAATCAAAGTTAAAAAAAGCCCTAACCTCGAAAAAAAAATTTCAATTCAATTTCGATTTACTCAACTTTTGAATATTGCACTATGATGAACAAGGGTTCGGTGGAAAGCTCTCAACGTGTGGTATATGAAAAGCTTTCATGTTTACACATTTTTATGGCGAACACAAGATCTTACCTGGGCAAATATCGATAATTTTTTCGAATTTCAAACTTCTTAACCAAGCAACGTATGTGTTCAAGCAAAAATTTCATCTGATACTTTTTTAAAATGCATCATTTATACATGAGAATCAGTTGAAGTGGTTTGATGTCCACTTTAAAGCGTTCAGTGAAGTTTCGTCTCATTGAACGCATGTTGGATTGTATCAGTTTTCATTACAAAATTGGAGATCGTAAAATGACCCAAAAATTTTTTCTTAATTTTTTTTTGCTCCAAAAGGTTGTTTTATATCCCCAATGAGGAGTTCACCTACAAAATTTTAACTTTAATTGTCGGATAGTTGGGGCAAAAATCAAGGTTAAAAAAAGCCCTAACCTCGAAAAAAAATTTCAATTCAATTTCAATTTACTCAACTTTTGAATATTGCACTATGATGAACAAGGCTTCGTTGAAAAGCTCTCAACGTGTGGTATATGAAAAGCTTTCATATTTACACATTTTTATCTCGAACGCAAGCTCTTAGATTGAAAAATATCGATATTTTTTTT